ATCAAAGTTTTTTTTTTTAAAGTTCGCTTTTTAAAAAAAAATCAAAGTTCAAATCTATATGACATATATTATATGAACACACATGTATAGACAAAACAGCAAACAAACACAACAGTGAACAATGACATTGATTATAGTTACCATAAAACTGCAAAATATTTTCACTGAAAATCCATGTGTTGTTGTTGTCCTATTTCTTGACTTCCGCAGGTAAACACAGAGTTCAGTATACGTATATCGACTAGTGACGTATTACTTCTGGTGACGTATCAAAACACTAATATCTATTACGTAGTAACGGAGCTCCCTCCACAGGTAATGGAAATCGTTGATCTTTAATAACACTGATGAAATCTACGTTGGGCGCCAAAATGTAGTCGTGTTTCCCTTGTATTTAAATAAAACACAAACACGTTGTATGGGTCTATGGTTCTTTTATTTCATCAGAATTGATGTAAATATTCTAAGTGAAAAATGACCCTTATAGAAGAATATGATAGTCCTAGACTATTTCAAAAGTTAAGATATAACAACTTCCAAATGAGCTGAAGAAAATGGCTACCACTTCATATAAAGACTTTAGTCAACTGTCCAAAACAAAGAAAAGTTAAACAAAAGATTCCCGCCTAAATCATACTGACCAATAGAAAAGAAATTAATCAATAGGTAATGTTCTACCTGAATAAACTAGCAGACTACAAATTATAATAAATGTAAATAGAATATATCAAGTATATATTCTAATAACATAAAACCTTAATTAATGTAAAACATAAAAATATAGCTCTACCACACATCGTGCCCCACGTTGGGCGCCAAAATGTAGTCGTGTTTCCCTTGTATTTAAATAAAACACAAACACGTTGTATGGGTCTATGGTTCTTTTATTTCATCAGAATTGATGTAAATATTCTAAGTGAAAAATGACCCTTATAGAAGAATATGATAGTCCTAGACTATTTCAAAAGTTAAGATATAACAACTTCCAAATGAGCTGAAGAAAATGGCTACCACTTCATATAAAGACTTTAGTCAACTGTCCAAAACAAAGAAAAGTTAAACAAAAGATTCCCGCCTAAATCATACTGACCAATAGAAAAGAAATTAATCAATAGGTAATGTTCTACCTGAATAAACTAGCAGACTACAAATTATAATAAATGTAAATAGAATATATCAAGTATATATTCTAATAACATAAAACCTTAATTAATGTAAAACATAAAAATATAGCTCTACCACATATATTATTGATAGTAAATAAATACAACATCAAATGAAGTTTTGTGTGTCCTTGTTTAGTATTGGTACATGTATTTTCATCATTCAAAGTAAATATTTTTTGTTCAGGTAAATTAATCAATAAGTGATGGATTTCTCTAAATAAATGTATGAATGTTGTGGATATTCGTATCTGACATTTTGAAAATAATTTAGAAATAAATAAAAGAATACATAATCACACCTATTTCTAGAATAAGAAACACACTTTAATTACTCGCAAAGCGGTTTGTGTTTGTTCACACCGACCAAGCAGCCAATAATGTGTATATATAAAGGAAACAGTAGTATACTGCTGTTCAATAGTCATAATTTGCTTAAGCAAAAACAAATCCGGGTAACAAACTAAAACCGAGGGAAACACATCAACTATAAGAGGTAAGCAACGGACCAACAGAAACACTGAACTACAACAAAAGCAAACGCGAAAGACGTAAATGCAACATAAAAGTTCCAAAGAATGAAATTATAGATTCTACATTCAGGTCCGTGCGCTCTACAGAGAGTCATATAGTTAACAATCATACTATAACCACAGCACAGCTTTAGGCCTTTTGAACATTTGAAGGTCCCTACTATATATATACCTAAACTACACAAAAAAAAAACGTAAAATATCGTGTCATATCAGCCTAACTTTCAACCAAATTTTCAATGCTTTTAACTAGTTTCTTAACTACTATTAAAGAATTTATCATTAACCTTTGTAATAAAACATATGAAAATAGTGGAATTAACTATTTTTGGAGTGTAAAAAAATCTTTCGATGTTTCAGATAAAATACGTGCTTTTGATGGTCCTTTTGGTTCTGTTGACAGTTTTGACTTTTCAACTCTTTACACTAGACTTCCACACAACTTTATGAAACAAACGTTTTCCTATTTAATTAAATGGTCGTTTGAAAAATCTGATTGCAGTTATATATATACGATGCAACTCATTTAAAGCCTTCTTCTCTAATGAGAAAGTTAATATGCTAGATAATTGAATCTGTTAATTTTCTCCTTGACAACATTTATGTACCTTTCAAAAATAAAGTTTATCGACATGTGTTATGTATTCCTATGGGCACCAATTGTGCTATTTTAATAGCAGACCTGTCCTTGTATTGTTATAAATAACATTTTATGGTCCAATTTAGTGAAGGCCCGTCTTAATTGCATTTAATTGATAAATTCAAAAACTCTAACTGTTGTATTGATGATATTTTTTCGTTAAATAATCAAGAAATTTCTAAATATACTGCCGCAATTCACAAAAAAGAAATTTCTTTAACTAAATGAAATATTAACGGTATTAACAGTCCTTTCCTAGATTTAGATATTTCAGTTTTACACGGGAAACTCTACAAAAAAATGTAGGACAAAATGACGATTTTCTTTTTGCACTATCTTGCGATGTTTTTATATCACAACTCGTTCGCTATGCCCGTGTCTGTAGTGACCTTTTGTAATTCAGGGATTTCGTTGTCACAAATTAATTAAAACCTTGTATAGATTCAAAAATTTTGTTTGGACGTTTGCCTGTACCTGTAACTAATTTCAAACGGGATAGCAAACCATAATTTTACGGAGATTTTTTCATAGCAAACCATTATTTTACGGAGATTTTTTCACCGAGCCCGGGAATTTACGATCAAGGTAAACTTACCCATCTTCTTACTAAACTTACTATAAAAGGTTACCAATTCAATACTGTTATTAGATCTTTGGATATGGTTTTGTTGGCATAAATATTGATTATTTTATCAGTAAATTGAAACAAAACTAAATATTATTGTTATAAACATATGCACATTCACGGTTCTACAATCTGTCGATACCAGCTGTATTTGTCATTGCACAAGGTCATGTTTCTCACTGAAGTCTTTACAATAAATCCATTGGATGTTGGATATGTACCGATTGATATTTTATTCTTAAATACTTGATTTCTTTATTAGTGGTTATCAGATATGAATTAGGGGTCAGTAAATGCGAGTACTCCAAGACTTGTTTTTCGTGTCTGTTTTGTTGTTGGGATGTATGAATTCCCTATTGTACTATCACACCACTGTCCCAGGTTAAGGGAAGGGTTTGGAGCCATCAAACATGTTTAACCCGGCCACATTCTGTATGTGTATGTCCTAAGTCAGGAGCCTTTAATTCAGTGGTTTTCGTTTGTTTTTGCTGTATATCATATTTATTTTTCGTTCATTGTTTTCTCGTTTGAGTTGTTTTACATTTATCATTTCGGGGCCTTTTATAGCTGACTATTCAGTATTGATTTTGCTCATTGTTGAAGGCTGTACGATGACCTATAGTTGTTACCTTCTAAGTCATTTGGTCTCTGATGGAAAATTATCAAATTTGCAATCTTACAACATCTTCTTATTTTTATATTGAAACAGATACTTCGTTTTGGTCACCAACTCGTGAAGATGAACGTGAAGATTTGAAGGGTTGCTTTGAGTCCTTTTTCCTCGTAAATCTTAAGAGAAGATTTTGTGGATACAGAGCCAAAATTACTATTCCTACCATCAAAACCATGCATACGGAATCATCCACCCGTCAATCCGTCCGTCCGTATGTCCGTCTACCAGTCTGTCATCTCTCTGTCCGTTCGTCTTCGTTCGTCTGCCTGACTTATTGTATGTTTGTTTGTCTGTTGATGTGCCTTGTAATCAACTAAAGATACGCCGTATTGGCTAGAGAGAGATATTGACGAAACCGTACAATTTGAAGACAATCCCGAGAATGACCATAAAGGAATGCGACAACCACATTACATTATTAAAGGAACTATGTCTCTGGAAGACAAATTTCCTTTTCCTTCGTATATTATACTTATATGAATGCGGGGCAGGGATGTCCTTTTTTGCGAGTGCACAACAGTTTAAATTATGACTGTAAGCATGTTACGTCGTTGTAAAGCACAACTTATCGGTTATGTCGTGGTAGCGTGGTGAGCTCAAGTGTCGGAGGTTGTGGGTTTGATCCCCGGCTGATTCAAACCAAAGACTTGAAAATTGGTATTAGCTGCTTCTAAGGACACAGCATTTAGGAGTAAAAGCAAAATCTGGTCTGCTCGGAGTAGGAACAAAGTGTCCGAGTAGAGTAAAATGTCTTCATGTGGAATGTTACCTTGTGAACTACCACGTTGAAAATCTGGCTCAGCATGTCAATCTAGTACAAAGCATGGTACATATTCATTTCGCCCGTCCTGAAAATGATTCTAATATGCCCGTGGACGTTAAACAGCTTTTCTTTTATCCATCCATCATTTTAAACCAACACAGCCTTTGCTTTCAAACTCAATTAATAACTTATAATATGTGTTCTGGTTTACGATGCATCCATCAATTCTAGGCCATGCTTTTTGCAGTTTGCAAGTCTTTAGATTGTTGACTGTAATGCTCAATTCGTCTTAAAGATCGCGTGCGCCTATTCTTAAACAATTTATTTTTTAAAGATGTGAATATGATATAATTATTAAGGTTATCAAAAGTCGCATAGAAATAAAATGATTTAAATAAACAGGCGAGTATTATTCTATACCTAAGATTTAAATATGGATTAACGCTTTTCTAAAAGGAATGTTTTTAAATGTTTTGATTAAAACTGGTATAACATACTTTTGTATACATTGTAATATGAACAAAATAGTATTATGTTTTCTGAATAAGAATTGTATAAAAACTTCCTTGACTTCATATTTTCATACACATGTAACTATCATATTCTAATTAAATCAACAAAGAAATGATGTCGATTACAAGATTGCAGGGGTGCAGTTTATGCATGTATTAGTTATGAAGAAATCCTCTCAGTGTATTCAAAGTAGGTATATAGATCTTTTATGCTTGTTTCAGAAATAGTTTTTTCGTTTTCTTTTAGTTTTTATTTCATGGATTCATTTAAAAAAAAAAAAAAAAAAAGAACAAGGCAACGGATTTTAGTTATATTTTGAAAAACCTGTATACATTTTCCATACATATTCATTTTGATATATATAAATGATAAAGGAATGTTTCTTTTTAATATAGTATAAAGATATTTTTTATATTCTTTGGAGCCATCTTACGCTGTTTATATTTCACAACTCGTTTGCTGTGCCCGTGTCTGTGTGACGTTTTAGATTTCAATGAACGCAATCTATGTATTACTGCTACATTATTAGGTCTAATTTTACAGAGATGTTGTTCACCGAGCCCGAAAATCTAGATACGGTACGAATAAACATATCCATCCTTTACATTAACATATTATAAAAGGTTACTAACTCAAAACTGTAATTACATCTTTGAAAATGGTTTTTACTGGTATAAATATAGATTTTGTTATCAATATATTAAAACTAAACTAAACATTATTGTCATATACATATGCATATTTAAGGGACAAGGTCATGTTTTACTCTGACTGTTAAAGACGTCTTTACGCTAAATCCATTGGATTTTAGATTACAGGCCTGCAGAGTTTATACATGTATTAATTATGAAGAAATCCTCTGAGCGTATTTAAAGTAGGTATATAGATTTTTTTTTATACTTGTTTCATTTTTTCCACTTTTTATAAAATGGTGCTTGCTGTCAGCTATGAAAAAATTATTAACTGCTGCCGGTTATTATTGCAGGGTCATTCGTCATCAATCGACAAATTCAGTAAACTATACCTCAATTGTACATTTTAAGTGTAAAAAGATAAATATCAGAAAACAGGAAAATATTATGAAAAATGTAAAACAAAGACTACAATAAATGGTGTTTGTAAATCTTTGGTATTCTCTATGAAAGTGCTGCAAAGTTCAAACTGGCCTAATTCAACTATTAAGATATGTCTAAAATGATTTAATACATTTGGTAGGTCTTTAAACATATCAATGAAATCTCTAGAAAATAGAAGTACGTTTGAGCATTTTACGGTTAAATATTTTTTAACTATAATTTACATATGATATATCCGACATACATATTTGTTTTCCTGCAGTGCAAGTTCATTGTTGACATTGCTATTCTTTAAATAAAACCTTTTTATACAATAATATTTTGAAAAGTGGAAGAATATGATAAACAAAGTCATGAAATTTTTTATATCATATGTACTATCAGTCCCCGGTCGATATTAGTCTTCAAGTCTTCAGCTTTAGGGCTGATATACTCACCTACGGCTGATAATAGATCGTATAGAAAACTGTCGTATACTAATCTCTTGAGATCAATTCATGTAACCAAGTAAGATCATCAATTGTATAATCTTACTCAAAAAGTCGTTTTAATTCCATCAAGAAACATGTCAATAGAACAGTAATGTCTGTTTGAGACTATTTAAGTTTGATGCCTGAACAAAATATGTATACTATGTCTACAGTGTTCTACGGTAACAACTCAATTAACGTTTACAAGTACTATATTGACACCATCTAGATGAAGTGTGCTATTTAATGAACCAAAACATTATCACTTTATTCTCTATTTTTTTCAGCAGATAATTTGTAAAACTCGCATTTAAAATGCCTGTTACACCTGAAGACAGACGTGCAAAATTAGGATGTGTTATTCTCAGGCTATTTCCTAAAGTAATGCAAATCATCTTAAAAGAATACATAAGTCTAAGGGGTTTACGAGGGAAATTTCAACTAAAAGATGTTCGAACAGCTTTTACAAAGAAAGAAATTTCGTTAATGGAGCAGCTTCCATGTATAGATGATTTCACAGTTGAACTGTGTTATAAAATATTACGATACGAAAATGTAATGCCTGAACCATCTTGCAAATGGGGAAATATACCACATGATACCGAAGTCGAAGTTGCTGATGATATCCAGCGCATTATTAATACTATAAATGATGTAATCAGTAAAAAGTGTGAAGATATATCTGAAGAGTTTTACGATGAATATCTTAAGAAAATAAAAGATATAACGAAGCGCATTGATGGACATTTGCATCACGACACTTGCATCAAGCTGTACACAACAATTTGCAGCTCAGATATGAATCATCTTTGCATTCTTCAAGATCTGACCCTAATGCAAGCAATTAATGGTATGATAAGTAAAAACATCAATAGAAAGATTTTTATATGTTGCTTATTAGAATAAATATCATAAAAAAATAATACTAAAAGAACCAGACATAATATCTGAAAGGTCTAAAGAGTACATGTACGTATACCATTAATTTAAAGTTTATTAGTACAAATTATCCACGTATAGACTGTCTTCTATTTAGAGACAGCGGACAACTATTTGTTTTTTAATAAACATCATGCAAACGATGTTGAACGAGTGACAACATTTGTTCTGTCATGTACTATTATTTTAAATGGATTGGCGTTTATTCTAATAGTTCATAATTAATGAATCAGCTATGGCTTTTGTTAGGGAAGTATTGCTTTTTTAACTGTAAATTTTTCTCTGTCTCTTTCAGTCACCGTGAAAAAATTATGTAATGCGTATCAATATTTTCATAGAGCGTTTGGCATTCATAGCGAAGAAATTCAATACTGGATACTTCACAAAAAATAGTTGACACTTGTTTAAAAAGAAATGCTTATAGAATGACTTTCAATAAAACAAGTCAATTTTTTTTCATTAACCAAATAAAGATCTATAGGAAACAAAATTATTGTAAAAACCAAATTCATTTCCTTCATGACAATATTATTTTATATTTAACCACATTATTGAATAATATTTCTTTACGCAATATTCAATTTAGATAAAGATATCAAAGAGTATTGTTGAAAAAAAGATGATGTTTCTTCTCATGGCGGTAAAACATATACTTGACAATAATCGAATATAGAAAAAAAAACACAAGAGTGAAATGTCTCGCCTGCTTTAATTATCATGATTGAGGTTATTTTGGAAGTCTTTAAAATGGAGGTTTAAATACAAATATCACATAAACTCAAGACTATCAATGATCCTTGTAAATGAGGTCAGGCTAAGTGGGGTCACGCCGGACAGACATGTACAAACCTTACAATCACACCATACACCAAATATGATAAGCCTATTGCTTAAAGCAATTAAAAAAATGGCCTAATCATGAAAAAATATCATTGACTAATAATCCATGAACATGAGGTTAAGGTCGGATGAACCCTGCCAGACAGACATGTTCACCTTACAATAATTCCATACGACTACTGTTGCCCATTCCTTAAAGTATCTGATAAATTGTGAAAACTTAACATTGTCCAATTAACCATGAAAAAAAATCAATAGCAGATGAAACCTGCTAGTCGGACATGTATACCTACCAAACATTAAATACACCAAATGTATATGCATTATAGTATCTTAGATACGGACTTGACAAAGAAAACTCAATCTTGATCACTGATACTTGATATGAAGTCTAGGTCAGTGGAACTCTGTCTGACTGACGTGTAGACCTTGCAAGGATCCCATATGTCTAATATAGTTATTCTTTTACTCATTATAAGTGCGTATTTCACATAACACAAAAACTGTACCTTTTTTCAAGCATCCATTGAACCATGAATATGAGGTCAGGGACAATTGACATGGCAGATGAAAATTTTGTAACGTAAGGCATCTACATACTAGTACCAGGTATGAAGCATCCAGGTTTTCTATCTTCTGAAATATAAAACATGCAATTCCCGTTTGAATGGTTTTACACTAGTAATTTTTCGGGCCCTTTGTAGCTTGCTGTTAGGTGTGAGCCAAGGCTCCGTGTTGAAGACCGTACTTTGACCTGTAATGGTTTACTTTTATAAATTTTGACTTGGATGGAAAGTTGTCTCATTGGCACTCATACCACATCTTCTTATATCTAACTAAGCAGTTTACGTCTTCGTCGCAGCCGCCACCAACAGATAGTAATCCTATGTTTCACATTCTGCGGCTTTCGTCGCATGCGAGACAATAAAATGAAGAGTAAATATATTATGATTATGTGTGAGTGTTTACTTGCATTTCAAAAAACTTTGTAGGTATGAACAAATAACCATTGTTAACATTGCAGATTTTAGGTTTAATATTCACTGCTGTTTCTATTTAGTTATATAGCCTTTCTTCTTGTAAAAGAGTAAAGAAATTTTTATAAACATCAAAACTTTATAATGAAACTATTCTGATATTACATTGCAGATGAATTAGTATATACACACATTCTTTCATACAGTATAATTTAATATTGTTTCTTTTAAAGATGTATTGTTTTGTTTATAATATTGGTATTAAAGAGTTAAGTACTTTTGAAAAATAGATTTTCTCTTTATAATCTTGTAGGTACATTTTTTTTTATTCCATCGATCTAATTTAGAATAGAGATAGCTGAGTATGATTAACGTATAGTTTAGCTTTGATTATTTTCCTTTTATCAGCCAGGAACTTCGAAGTGTTGTTTGGGAAATTGTGTGTTCACTAGGATGTATTCGTACGACCTTCGACAAAGAGAAAAACACTTATCGAAAAGTCAGCTATCACAGGTCCCACTTGATCCGTTTGATGTGTACTGATTAATACTTATATGATAATAACATGATTTATTCGTTAGTTGTAATTGGTTCTGAAATAACATGTACTTTGTGTCTTGTGATTTCATGTTTGTTTTATTTTTACTGGTTGTTCTTATGTCGTGCTATTACACCACTGTACCATGTTAAGAAGATGGTTGATTGTACACAAACATGTCAAACCTGGCCTCATTCTTTATGTAAAAATAACAAAATACCGAACTCCAAGGAAAATTCCATACGGAAAGTCCTTTATCAAATGGCAAATCAAAAACTCAAACACATCAAACGAATACAAAACAACTGTCATCTTCCTGACTTGGGACAGGCATTTCCTTATGTAGAAAATGGTGAATTAAACCTGTTTTCAGGAATCTTCATGACTTATTATATCATCAAATGATCCTCGCCATCGTTAAATTATCTTCCGCCATCGTCAATTCCAAATGATCTCCGCTTTTGACAAAATTTGTTTTCATTTTGTTAGCCGCCGCCATTTTTGTTAGCAATTATGATCAATTGCATGTAATTGAATTACCCTCATTGTATTATAATCCAGATGTTCCTCCTGATTACAGTTTGAAAGCCCGGAGGGATATACGACTTAAGATCACTAATCACTTGTACAGGAAGCAGGAAGATCGACACACCTGACAGAAGAACACTTGATCAAGATAGACAGTTGATTGCATTATTTAATTGCGTTTTAACAAATGCTCATGAAATTTAGATTATAATATACATTTTAGATCCAGTTACGAAGGAAAAAGTTTAAAAAGTCGAACACGTGCTTTTATATTGACTTTTGCAATTAGAATTGATTCATCCAGTTTACATTCAGAATCGAAAGATGCATGTGTTGCATAGTCTATTACTATGACATTTACAATTTAAAGTCATTAAAACCATTTAAGTTGTAAACGTTTGCTCTCCAAATCTTTTTGTAACGTTTTACAAAACAGCGAAAAAAAGATCCACCCCATGTTAAAGTCCTAAACAGACAGCTTGTGGTCATTCTTGACGAAAAGGGGGGGGGGGGGGGGGAGGGGGGGGGGGGGGGGGGGGGGTATATGCATGCTTAACATTGGAATTGTTACAAATGACAATTAATGAAAATATTGGTTATTCTATAATGAAATAAATATGTAATATCGCCATGTCATTATCAAGCATTTACCTTTGCAGTGAGTCAAATTGTTGATGAAGATGGCGAGACCAAAGAATGCTTTTCAAGAATGTCCTTTGTTATTACGGACACGTTTCCAAATATCCTTAGAGATGTAATTAGATCAAGTATTCATGCAAACAGATTGTACAAATTATGCATTCCACATCTTCGCAATTTCTCTCCAGACCAGCAAAATTGCTTACAAGACTTAGATTTGTCAAATTCGTATGGCTCTTTAGACGTTTCATTAATTTATAGACTGTTAAAACAGTTTCAGTTGATATCACCGCCTACTAAAGGATGGGGTATATTCCCTTGCAAAGTTGATAACAGATTAGGTGATGATGTAGAACGCATTCGTTATTACAGAAACCAAATGGCACACAAAACTAATATCCGCATTGAGAGAACTGAATTTGAGAATTACTTTGACAGTTTTCGTGATATTGGTCACAAAATGGATATAAACTTTTTCCAGAAAACAAATTATGAGGAGACAATCATTTTGCATAAAACCTGTAGGATAGATATACATATGCAGAATAAGTATATAAATACCTTGAAGGAGCTGGAAAACATAAAATGTGAGTAATTGCTGCTAGTGTTTTGGAGTGATCTTTCGTATTATATTGGCGATATAAACATACCGTATAGATTTTTTAACGCGTTGGTGTTCATTTTTAACGCGTTGGTTTTCACGAATTAACGCGGTTTTGTTTTTACTTTTAACGCTTTGGTTTCACTTTTAACCATCAATTGTAAAAAAAGAATTGCGCATTTATTCATAAATAATACGTTATGAAAAATCAACCCGTTAGTTTTGCAAACTTTACAGCTAAGTTTCACTTCTAACGTTATTGTTTCACATATTCATACTGTTTGCTTGGTATTTGTGTCCACTAATCAAAAACTTTATGTACAACTGTACAAACTAAACTAACGGCCAGCTTTAATTTCATGCATAAACATGAATTATTTTGGCGGCAAAAAATAATCATGGCTGAGTCGTTCGCAGCACTTCTACGAATGTTAATTAATCGCGCTCAGAGATTGGATACAAGGGGGTAGACGACGGCAATTGTTTCGGAAATTCAACATGATGATGATGCCTTGTTTGTGTACGGTCCGGGTCAAGATTTTGGTTAACAAAATTTACTCTAAAATAATAAATAATGTACAATTAACCCCAAAGTTCAACATGAGGGACAGCGTGATATTTATCAGAGGGGTAGGGCTCGTGTATGACATTTATTTTCGACCAAATACTCCAATCAACTCTTTTTTTTCAGTTCAAGAATTGTACACGGCCATTTGAGGCCATGGAGGCAATATAATCGACGTTACGTGAGAATCAGGCCTAAGGCTGCAGAATTTAAGACTGAAACCTTTTCCGTAAACGAGGTTAAATATGTCATGGTCATAATTAAAACAAATAATGGTCTCAGAAGTACCATGATATATTAAACCCCTCCTTAAGAAATTTTTGTTACAAGATACCAATTTATAAAAAGAATAAAAGGGACATGATATATTGACCCCTACTCTTTTCATTTACAAGGTAGCCCGTGTCAAAACAAAATTTAAAGTAAAGTGAACACGTCCTCAATGGGATTAAACTGTATTTTTTAAAAGTCACTTTACATTGTAAGTCATGTATAATGCCTCAAAAATGATAGTTGAGCTTGTAGTAATTTGAATTGTGTGGAAGCACTTATCTAGAACTTCCATCTGAATGAACGTCGGGAAAACAAATATTTTTAACATGGAATAGAGATGTATCGTTTTTTTGTTTCCATATACTAGTATATTGAGTGCACTGTATATTTAAGCCATATTTCGTATACGCTATCCCATAGTAAGATTGGAAAACCAAAAGAGAGGCAAAAATGCCAGAATGAATATTCAAACTACTAGGTCTAAATCAAATTGACAATGCCATGGCAAAAAACGAAAAAACGACGAAATGACAAACAAAGTACACAAAAACATAACATAGACAACTAAAGAATGAGATACAAAACATACCCCCTACTGGTTCTTTATTACAAAGGCGATAATTAGGCATGCATCAACGCTTTATAATATTCATCTCAAACATTCAGCCAGAGATGAAAACAATCTAAAGCTATTAAAGATGACCAACGATCCGCCATCTTGGATTTTTTTAAACATTGACACAAATCATGCCTTTTTGTGTTCTTTTTATCTACAAAACACGAGATCTATGCTTCAAACAGTTTATAAACCAGAGGTTTTAAGGTATGAAGGAAAAGTCGTAAAAATGCCTAATATTAGCTATTAACCAGCTACCTTTTATTTATCACCAAGTCATTTAAAAATATGCTACATCTCAAATCGTATTTAAAGATAGAGAAGATAACGTTATTAATGTCAATATACATAAAAAGGCCGCCATTTCACCATCTTGGACTTTCGAGAGAAAAAAAACAACTGTTCAACATCTTCATATTTTTTTACTTCCAATCAAACTGAATGTAAAATGCAACGTAAAAATCATAAAAATTCACGATTCAGCCATCTTGGATTAAACAACTCACTGGTTATTACCAATCTGTAAAATCTGGGGGTACAACTCATATATTTAAGAAAAAGATGGTACCTTAATTTTCCAGATGGATTTTCCAGATGGACATAAACACAGATGGACGGACGGACGGACATGTAAACTGAGAGCAATCATAAAGTTCACTAACACCTAAGGCATATATTGTTTATATGTGAAATGATATCGCGCAAATAAATGGCAATTTAAATATCGATGGAGGGTGCATTTCTCTCCTTTGAGGTAGGGTAGAGACAAAAAGGTTTATAGCAACAGCTTTTAGTCTTTAGTTGTCTATGTTGAGTTTTGTGTACTGTTGTTTGTTTTTTCGTTGCTTTTCGTTTTTTTTTCAATGGCAGTCAGTTCGTTTTCGACTTATCAGTATGAATATCACTTTGTATGTCACTTACAAAAGTGATTTTAATTCCATCTGTGAAAAAATTCAGATATTTATGATTTGCATTAGGTTGTAATCTGCAACCTTATCATATATTTAAGAAATAATTCATGGGGGCTTGAATATATCGTGATTTTACCACGGGTTGTCCCTTTAATGCCGATATTTTACCCTGAGCGATGAATATATCGTGATTTTACCACGGGTTGGCCTTTTATGACAAATATTTTACCCTGAGCGATAGCGAGGGGTAAAATATCGGCATTAAGGGACAACCCGTGGTAAAATCACGATATATTCAAGCCCTATGAATTATTTCGATTCTAATAGGACAAATACGGCAATTGTTTTGGATCGAAGCGCTATAGATGAAGGCAATATTTGCCGTTCCCATAAATAAACGCACTTTTAAATTGACGTAAAAGACCGGAGCAAACTGAATAAATGACATGCTTAAACTATTTACAATAGCATATTTAGATAGGTTTGGATGAATCTAAATGATAATTGTACTTATATGTCTTATATGTATACAACAAATGGTTTATATAACACATTTTTGCATCGTTTGTTTACGTTTCCTTGTTGTGATGATTTTCGGTTTCACAAGCGTGTATTTTCCCGTAAAATGCTTATATTCTTACGTCATCGTTCTATGACGTCGGGTAGCTCATTCATAAAAAAACATATGACGCGGGAGTACGATTGGAACAGCCCAAACAATATATTCATATTTTACCACGGGTGTGTACTCAAAGCGTTTGAAGAACGTCATGTTAGAATTCCTATTAATTTCTCGGCCTTATCATATATCATGCAGCTAATAATAGTGACTTATTCCAATGGCTCATTCCTTCCTCTTATTACATAGTAAGTGCCACCCAACACCGGAGATTTAAACGTGTCAACATGACTGGGTCAGTAACGTTTGCAAATACTAGCTGTAAGAAGTTCTTGTTTCTAAAAATTCTGGTTAAAACACATTAGTCGATAGACTCTACGATACGCTGTTAAAACCGTTGACTGTATCCGTCCATGTCAATCGTATCACTCAGAAGCATTATACGATCACAAAATGTTTGTTTGATCAATGTTTAATTGGTTAGCACAAAACAGAATTCGAACTTACGGTATAAAATGAGAAAACTGTAACGTTTGAAGTAAAAATTAACAGTTAAGTTTACATAACTTACGCGTTGATTTTTAATACCGTATGAATCTCGAATTAACGCGTTAGTTTTTACAATCAATGCGTTGGAAGTAAATGAACAACGCTTCAAGTATGTTTTCACGGTAAGGTCATACTGCAAATGACACTAATTGCCACTCATAGTTGTTCTCCGTTAACCACAATTGTTAAATATCTATCAGCATATTTCTTCATATTGCGTAATCAGAACATGTTTGCAATCAACGCGTTAAAGTGCAAAACAACCTTTCAAAAGGGAAAACCAACGCGTTTAAAGTGAAAATCAATGCGTCGGAAGTAAATAAACAACGCTTCAATTATGTTTTCACTTTTTCAAAGTTTTAAACGGTAAGGTTATACCGCCAATGACACTAATTGCCACTCATTGTTGTTCTCCGTTAACCAAAATGGTAAAATATTTATCAGCATTGAGTAATCAGAACGTGTTTGGTAAATTAGAGCACTTTTGAAACCATGTTAAAAACACATATATTTAAAAAAAAAATAACAAAAAAAAAATAAAACAGTAAACTGAAGTTCGGGTAAGATCAACCTAAATTTTAACCGGAGGTAATCACACGTGCGCTTGAATGGATAAACCGTTCATACTATTTTATGATGGCTTATTTATCGTTCTTCATGACAAGATCCTGTATTAAGTCGACCTCAGTGAGAAAATAATGACAGGATTTTTCTAAATGTACGATAAATGATATATAAAACCTATCCGTTGTCGGCCTTCTTGGAATTTTCAAAAAGATAAATGCGAATTAACTATTCCGGATTCTAAATCTGTTCAAAACCCTTTATGATAAAAATCCTTCCAGAAAACTTTTACCACGGTTTTGTGTCTACAATGGATACCTAATACGCCGTGTGCTGGTGTAGATGAAAAGTCATTACATTAAATAATATAGAAAAATTCCTTCGAGTGGCACAAGAGACACAAACGCTCGCCCCTCCATAACACATAATTTCAGGTATATTTAAAGGTTGTTTGGTAGATCCTTAAGTATTTTAATGACCGTTTTGACAGTTTGGTCAATCAGCTATCTGCACATATTTACTTTCAAATGCATTTATTTGAATTTCAATATTCGATGTTATAGCCTCTCGCAAATACTTCACTGCAAACCATACGAAATTGCAAAAACTGTAGCTTAAATCAAACCAAGAGACCTTTATCTGTGTATTGTAGTTTGGAAACGCAATGTTACGACATTTGGACAAACTTTAACTCATTGGCAGTCATACCACATATCATTATTTTCATAAAAGATTCATTCAATAATTGTTATCTTCCTGTATACTTAACTACCCCAATTTAGGGTGTTTGATTCTTTATAAACACTATATATTGTCTTGTTCGTCTCAGCATCTCAGATTTAGTTAAAGAAAATAATGTGATAAAAGAAGCAATATTCAGCTTAAACTTCAGAAACAATTATATGAAAATAAAAATTAATTCAAGAAAGACGACGGGTTAACAGTTTAGTAATAACAGAAATGATCACAATTGTACTGCTTTAGATGCGCATTTGGACAATTAATGCTCCTCCAGTGACGCCCGAGGTTAAAATATACACTTAAACTGCGGGTGATCTCTGGTGCTCCGGAAGGGTAGGCAGATCCTGCTCCACGTGCGGCACTCTTCGTGTTGCTCTTATTAGTACAAATCCGGTGATAAGTCTAATTCGGTAGGGCATATTTTGAGGAAAAGAAGACGGGATTGTGGTTACGACAATTGAAACATATCCGTCTTCATCTGTAAAACAGGTACTTAGTATTCCATAACGGTCAACCAACTTGTGATGGTGTTTCTACATTTTTTAAGGGGTGATTTCGACTTCGCCACTACGATATTTTTCTAAATTTCTATCAAACACTGTCCTTTTTTTCTTGCCAGTATCAGGGACTAACAGTCAACTTAGGTTGTAGGTAGTTTATACCAAATGTTTAGATAAGCTTATGCCATCAGCACCTGATGTTTACATTACATCATCGTCTGAGATCTAACATTTTGCAGTTCGATTAGTAATCATAAATTCCGATAATCATCTGATAGATCTTTCATTTTCGGTCCAACAGCATCTCATGTCCTACGCTATGTTTTTATTGTAATTCATTGTAATTATAATTTCAATATATTTTTACAGTGATATTTGAAAGAACGCCAATCAAGTTTTACTGGGGAAATAGCTTTAACAGAAGTTTAGTTCAACTGAGATCTATAATACAAGATGAGAAATCAAAAGGTAGCAAATTAACATAAGATGTCTGACACTACTTGAAATTGTTTACGTCTTTTGAGACGGCAAATACAATTGCTTTCTACATTCGTTGAAAAGTGTTAACACCATACACTACTGCACCATTTTCTTTACACCGCTGCACCATTCCCCATACACCATTGCATCATTTTTTCTTTCCATTTGACTTACACGATTCGCACCATGCAAAATTGTCCATAAGGTAAAGCGCATGAATAAATAGTAAACTTCCAAACATTGTTTTAAAACGATTTAAATTTTAAACAACGAAACAATATTTCCTTTTGCACCATGCACCATTGTCAATTGCACAATACACAATAAACTATTACACCATACACGATACAGCATTACAGAATAAACGTTTTATTGGAAAGATTATGTCATTCAATGGTTGTACCACATGTTAAGATGTCTATTTTAGTGACACCTAAAGAAATATATAGCAATCAATGTAATATAGAATGTTATGACATGAATATTTTTTTCTAGGGAGAGAAAAAGTCCGGGTACAGATAATATTCCAGACTGAATCTGACATAGAGAGAACTATTGATATTCTAAATTCACTTAGAGATGACATAAATAAAGGCTTAAGTGGAATAGAATTCATTGTGGCCAAAAAAGGGAGCATTGTCATGCTGGATATCTTTGAAACAGAAAGAAGATTACAATCTGCTTTGGGTTTGTTTCTAGAAAGGATTTTGGAACACATTACAACCTCTTGGACTAAAAATATTGATATGGTTTTGGTCCCCGTTGAAGGTTCGTCAACTATGTTTCTATAGAGTTGGTACGTGGCTGTTTCTGTATTGGACCTGTATAGATTTGAGGTATGCTGAACTATTCCCGAGACTAGAAGAATCAAGAACCAGTACGATTGATAGAGAATCTACATAAGGGCCAAAACAGAAACAGCCAGTTAATAACACTTGGTTTAATGATTCTTAATCTTTGAGTCAATTTAAAGCTTACCGTTAAGCCTGTGCAGAAAAACATATGATTTTGAAATTATCTGTTAGGTCACGCTGAATTTGCTCATAATGATACGATTTCTGATTTCCTACCCAAATATTTTTTATATGCAAATGCAACACAATTTATCTAGCTAACATAAAGTAGTTGGGGAGGATAGGTATGACATCAAACCGTTATTATTCTTAACTTCTGTCTTTTTGTGTTTTTGATCGACAAAAATGAAAGTGATGTGAATTGAAAATTTTACTCGAAATTATTTCTTGTAAAGGAGCATTAGCTGTCAAATTCATGATCACTGATTTGACTAAAATTGTCATCTTTGATATATAATACACTAAAACGTTTATTGAATTTACAAAAAGTCCACAAAAAACCCCCAATTAATATTGCATGGACTCGTAATTATGTACCAGCATTTCGTGCGTATTTTACACACGCTATCTATTCAATAACCATCCAGGTTGCCTCCGAAGTCTGCCGATTGTCATATGACCAGATAAAAACAATAGTATTATTATTAGACAGACAAGCACGTGTAATCGATATGTTTTGTTGTCCTGGTGTCTCTCTTTCTTCAATTTTCACTGTTGACATTTTTTCTTCTTAATAACTGAAAACGCTTAGTACATGCGTAACTATCTCCAACAAAGGCTCAAATCAAAGCTTGCATAAATACGGATGCAAGAGAGGTTGACATATTAACTTGCAACACCATTATACATAAGCGATGATTTTTAGCTTATTCTGACAAAATTAAACGAATATGACTGCTATCATCGAAGTATTGTTTCAATATTCCGCTTTTATAAATGTTTGAAACAAAATTCCTATCCTGTTTTTTACATAAATCGTAGCTAATGCCCCTTTAAGTCTTACCACAACAACATTTGAACTTTTTCATCGCATATAAGTTTTAAAGTATCATAAAATGTATCTTAAAATCGAAATACGTCCAACCTAAATGTTTAAATAGTTTAGAGGATTTTCTAAAATAAAACATCAATTCTACAAATTATAACAGTATAATTGTACTCTTAATTGGGTAATGTGTTTTACAAAAAAAGTGAGTATCTAATGATTAAATAAAGCGGGACCCAACGTTCACGAATTCCCATCTCATTTTCACGCAATTACTGTCATTTTTTAGACATTGTTCATGTACGGAACCAAATTGAACATATTAGTTTAACTAATGTCCTGCAGATATTTTATCACATAATCTATAATTATGTTTATAAATAGATAAATTCCTTTTGATTTAAAAACATGCTCATAGGTGTTTATGTAATTTGCTTATGCAAAGATTATATACCAAGTTTCTATACCAAGTTATTTGATTAAAAAAATCGAAACCCAACATCCACGGATTCCCTCCTCATCTCCACGCAATTACTGTGACAATCATTTTTTCTAGAAAATACATGGTTTAATATTTGGAATCGAACACAAGATAAAATCTTTGATTTGTTCGATCCAATATCTATAAGTTTTATAGTAATGTTGATTTTCTTAATGAATTTCTTCAATATCATACTGATGTGGTAAAAATATTGATGCTGCTTGCTCATATAAATGTAAAATCATTTCTAGCACATTAATATAGTTTTCACATCGTTGTTGCAGTCGTCTTTTAAACTATAAAATTAGCAAACGTTTAACTAGTTTATTATCCGTTGTTTTTCTTCAATACTACTCGATTTCAAAAGAAATCGAAAATTCCTCCAGATTTCATTAAGATCTACTATTTCATGACTAACAATATCGATCGGGTAATCATTTATAATATAACAAACCTTTTGTACAAAAAGTCTGAGACAATAGGCATTTAGATGTACTCATTTACATCCATTTCATTTGAACTTTGGTGGATAGTTGTCTCATTGTCAATCATCTCCTTATTTTCATATCAACATACGGCCGTGAATGTCTTTCTCAAAACCAGCCAAATTGAGAACAAATCTAAAATGAATAGCGGTTGAATAAATTAACATAATCGTCGGCCATCTGTTTGTGTCGTAAACGTATCTGAATATTTCCAATAGAGTTAGAATAAGATTGAGTTCAGATTATTTGGTTGCCGTCTACTTAGTATGAAAGCCACATTTAAATAAAACATTTTCTCTTCATTTAAATTCAGAGTACAAAACATTGGATACTAAAAAACCCAGCTCAGAACCACTATATCTACACTTTGATTTCGACGCCGATTTATTGGAAACTGATGATAAAATAGAAGAACAACTAAGACAAATATCTGAAGTCATTATCAAACATTCCAACGGAAGTGGAACGAACTCAAACATTACTGCAACACTTTTACCCATTAGTCCTGGTAACTAGTTTATAGTTATAATGTTATTATTTGCAAAAATGTAAATTACTTGTCAATATTTATTTACAGATTAACATAAATGATGTTTTTTTTATCGCTAGTTAAATGTGGTACAGGTATGAACTAAAGTTCCTTATGTGTCAATTATAAAGTAATACGCATATTGACCTCTATAGACATCAACCAACGAACCAGATTCACAGTTACTCATTTAGTTTGGACTTGATATCACTTGTGACTGACATAAAAAGGCGGAAAATTTTATTGTTTCTAGAAAATGAGAGCTATGGATAGCAATATGGTACACCACATGTCAGATTCGTCTATATACAACTCGCCAGTGGCGCTCGAATCAAAACAATTGGAAGGCTAAATCAAGTGCGAAGTTGTAGAATATTGAAAGCCAACAATTACGAAAAAATGTAGTCAATCTTATTAAACTTTCTATGTCTGGGTTAGCAAATGCTAGTGTTTCGAATACATCAACATTTGATCAACCATAAACTTGGTCGGATCGAAGATATATTCTATTTTTACAATTATTTCATAATTCATTTTAAGACATTCACTGATTGGGAAAAATATCAAATCAGCATTTCATTATCTTTATTTCAGAAATTATACCAACCACAACAGAAGCTTTTGCCCAAGCACAGACGCCTGCAATAAACAACCTTCCTGTTTCTATAACTTTTCGTCAAGAGTTAGATATTTCATTTTCAAAAAATAATTATCGGTGCATTCATGAATGTATCAAAATAGGCAAAAAAATAGTGTTTACTGATCACTCTTATAAAAAGAGAGTAATTATTTGTGATGTAGATGGTGCAAATGTCCAGCTCTTTCCTCTTTCCTATGCCCCGTGTTACATTACAGAGGTAGATACTAACACTGTTGCAGTATCATGTTCGTATAACAAAATAATACTGATAGTAAATTTAACTACAGGTTCTATCACCAGTACAATCAAAACTAGTGATTTCTGTTGGGGTATTTCGTATGATGGTAATAACCTGTACGCTTTGGTTGGTAAATTACTGAAGGTTATAAACATGACAGGTAATGTAATACATACTATACTTTTACCTTCAGTTCGAACCTGCGGTATTGCAATACACAAAAACAGGTTGATATGTATAGACAAAGCAGCAATATACTGCTGCTCTCTAGATGGAAAACTAATGTGGAAGTTTCAAAACGATAAATATAGAAATTTATATCATGTGACAATAGATGATGATGACAATATTTATGTAACTGATAGGGACACGAGCACGGTAATAGTAGTATCTGCAGATGGTCGACATAATAGAGAAATTCTTACTCAATCAGATGGACTATACAGACCGACCGGAATTCATTTTGACAAAAACGAAAATGTTATGCTCGTTTGCAATGAAAATAACAGAAAGGCATTTCTTTTTGATGTAATCTAATTGCTATTTTTTCATATGCTTATATGAACTGCGTCGGATTGAAAAACCTTATACAAGTGCACGTATACATGTACATGTATAAGATTTTGATTGATTTTGGAACATTTAAATACGAAATAAAAGATGAATTTGGGTCTGTTTTGTAGGGTTCTAACATCAACTCAATTTGCAAACAGAGATTTTTTTCAACCCGAAATAAGTCAACATATGTATTGATATTCATTTGCATAAGGTTGATTTTTATCCGACACAGCTCATATATTATTTGTTCTACGTACTCAATTCATATAAATGAATTAACAAATCAATGAGGAAACGTAGAGGTCTTTTTATTCGTTTTATCTTTGCTTAGGCCAAATTTTAAGCCGTCTTGCTGATTAGTTTTAAATGTAATTAAAAAAATACTTTTTAGAATCCCGCAATAAGTAAGGGCTCATTCATTTGATTTTAGTTATTTGTATGCCTGAAATCAATCATTGCTTTAAAATAAAAACCTCCTGCACACATACAGCAATACACATGCAAGAACTTTTTTTAAAAATTAAGACCGTTTTTACTGATTTCTAAAAGATAGAAAATCGTATTCTTTCTTCCCTTCTAAAACATATTTTCTCAAAATTTTAGATAGAAAAATTGATTTTAAAAGTATGTCCAACATTAAAGACGAAGCAAATGGCTGGCAGTTTCCCCTTAAACATATCTAATATATAATAATTAGTATATATAAAAATAATTATATATAGTACTTTATATATGAAATCAGACATAACCTTTGTCGATAGACTTATAATTTTGAATTATGAAAATACATTTGTTTGGAGAAAACAAAAGATCATATTATCTGTTGTATTTATGTTATAGCCTTTTTTTCTGGTCTACCCTTTCACAATAATTTATAAACTTTTGTTGATGTTCTTTTAAAATTTTTATCTTAATTTCACCTTGACAACCTTGACAACAAATGAGGCAACCATTTCAAGTAGGAATAAACTGTAAACACAGAGATATGTCTCGCCTTTTTGTACTTTTGATAATGCAAATGTTGAAATTAAAATAGCAATACTTTAACATATAAGTTATGCAAATATTCAAAGTCAATGAACCATGACTGAAGGTACATGGCAAAACAATCTCCATGGAAATGAGATGTGCCAATGCTAATACAACTGACTACCAAATACCATAGACTTATCATAAGTCGTTCCCTTTCAACAAACCTAAACAGAAACATTGACTTGTAAACTATGTAAAAGTTTCAAAGTCAATGAACCATGATGAGGGGGTGGGGCTATATAATCTCCATGGAAACGAGACTTGCAAATGCCAATAAATTTGCATACCAAATATCATTGACTTAACATAAGCGTTTTTTTTAAACTGATCTAATCACAAACGAATACATGTAAACTAAGCAAAAGTTTCAAAGTCAATAGACCATGACTGATGGGGCGGGACCAAATATTCTCTAAGGAAATGAGATGTACCAATGCTTATACAACTGCATACCAATTAACATTGGCCTACCACTTATGGTTCCCCTTGAACTGACCTAATCACAAACTAATACATGCAAACTAAGCAAAAATTTCAAAGTCAATAGACCATGACTGCGGGGGCAGGACAAAATATTCTCCATGGAAATGAAATATGCCAATGTTTATACAACTGCATACCACATATCATTGACTTACCACTAGTGGTTCCCCTTGAACTGACCTAATCGCAAACTAATACATGTAAACTAAGCAAAAGTTTTAAAGTCAATAGACCATGACTGAGGGGGCGGAACCAAATAATTTCCATGGAAATGAGATATGCCAATGCTTATACAACTGCATACCAAATATCATTGACTTACCACTAGTGGTTCCCCATAAATTGACCTAATCACAAACTAATACATGTAAACTAAGCAAAAGTTTCAAAGTCAATAGACCATGACTGAGGGGGCAGGGCCAAATAATCTCCATGGAAATGAGATGTGCCTGTGCTAAAACAACTGCATACCAAATATCATTGACCAACCACTAGTGGTTCACCTTAAACTAGACCTAATCACAAACTAATACAATGTTGACGCCGCCGCCGCCGTCGCCGGAAACAGCATACCTATGTCTCGCTTTTTGACTCCGTCAAGGCGAGACAAAAATTACATAAAATATATTAAACTCGGTAAAAGTATTTGAGTGCACTAAAGGAAATTTCTGCTATTCATATATTAAAGTCACTGCGGTAAGGGAATGGCACATTAACTACAGCAAAGAACGTGTTTATCCAAACAAATAAGCATATTTATCGTTAATTGGTTAGAACTTACAATGTTTAAATTTATTTTACAATTTGGAATATGATCGGACGAACATAACCCCAACAGCTCAAAATACATTTAACAATTAATGATATGCAGAAGAGGGGCATTTATCCCCAGGAACTAGACAGTGGGTGCACTAGAAAGATTGTTTGGTGGCAATTATGAATGCATGTTGTTAAGAAGTAGGGATTCGAACCACTTTTTAAGTGTTTAACAATTTGTATAGTGGGTTAGGTCTTGATTCCTAGGGTCAACCATTAAGTGCAATGAAAAAAATTCGGCATTGCAAACAGCCAATATTATACCGGGTAGCTTGAGGTTGACAGGAAAATGTTCCCCAAAATATATCATTTAAATTAAAGGTCAAATTCAAATTCAATTAAGTGCGAAACAATTGGTCCTTATGTCAAAGATCGTCACATGAAGGCCTTAATTATAAGTTACACAGTCCTATGGTAATACACCTTAATTCCAAGTCATGAGTTGAAAAAAATATTTTTGTCCTGATAAGGCTGTATGAGAACTATATAGCAGAAAATCGGAAGATAAATGTAACACTGCCTAATTGGACTTACAAGTGTGTTTTTCCTTCCTCTATAGCATTTAAAGAAGTCATTTAAACCATAATCTAAGTACTACTTTCACGGGCCTCTGCTTCACAGAGTTATCGTCCTACGATAAAATACTTATACTGATTGGTGATTATCAGGTTGATCCCTATGTTAATAAAAATATGGACAGTAAAAAAATGTTGAGCGAAATGTACTCTCACATATCATTGGATTTAGAACCTAAAATCTAAATGTGAAATGTTTATGCAATATAATTTACGTGACTCTTTGTTTAATTTATATTATGTTGTACATAATATGTATTCCTTTTATGTGAGCGGTCTTATTTTTTAATCCATTTCTCTGACGTCAGTCTATTGTTCTTACAGTAGATTATGTTTCAAGAATCAACTGACCACTGTGTTAACTTAAGATAACGTATATCATAACTTTAAACTTTTAACTTACCATATACAATCCTCTCAAAAAACGAGTGGCATATGAAGGGTTCGAACTCGCGCGTATTTTCTTCATAATCAGTAGAGTCTTCAGTCAATGCATGCTACCACTATACCTCGAGTGTTGACATATATTAATATTTAAATAGCACTCTTAAAGCGCATAACTGTCAATACATGTCAATAAACTGTATTTCTGTCTCATAGATAATTCGCTTTTGTTATCTAATAAAATATACATTTCGTTCCGGGTACAAGACACTGTTAATGTCACTGTTATGATTTCGGTACCAACGACTAGACGATCACGGCTATGAACAGCTCGAATGTACAAGTAAAAATTGACATAATTATACATTGTACATCTGTAGCAAGAGCAATTCGGCTGGGGATTCAGAATACGTACCACAGATATTACTAGTTTATTGACTGGTTGACGATGGATGCCAAAATGTAATAACATTAAAATAATCTACACTTAATGAAAGGGAACCAGTTTAAACAAAATTCATGTATAAGTGTTCAAGTAAGAATTTAAGCAATTAATTGTGTTTAATTCGGGAAGGCAGCATCATCTGAAGCACCATGATATGGCAAAATTGTTGCAAATACGCTAAATTTACGTACTTGATACAGTACGTCTGAGGTGTAGCCAATCTTTAATCAGCTGTAAACAAATACTTATTGCTAAATACTATATATGTAAATTTCAAAGAGTTCTAAATTTTGGTAATTAAATTTTTTTTTAACTTTTCAAAAAAAGATAAATGAATTCAGTATAAAATATATGTCTTTTTGAATAAATCATAAATACCAAAATCTATATAATTTAAATAATTCGTAAAGATTAAACACTAAATGAAATAGTCGTTTTACTAGAAATGGGTTAAACTAGAAAATTGATAAGAAGAAGTGGATTCGGAAAAGATAATCAACTTGCGACTAAAGTCGCTCGTTGATTATCGTTTACGAATCAACTACTTCTTATCAATTCTCTACTACATAATGTACCACTTTTTTTTAATTCTGTAGATGACATATGAATATTTTTTTCTTGTCTGTATACTGTATCTTCATTGCATATGCTGTAAGACGCATTTGTGGATACCCCGTCCGCAAGTGCCCCCTTTGTAAAGGGGCAGTTTCTAAACAGATATATATATATATATATATATATATATATATATATCTAGTATGGTTCAGTATCATTATGGCAAATAAGAATATACATGGTAAATTGGTGCAGATCTTAACTATTTTCGATACATTATTGTCATGCCACCAAATCCTAGAAAAAAAGTTTGGCGCAGCAGAAATGCAACTCAATATATCTATTGGAATGAAAATCTTAATATTTGTATATGATTGTACTATACATGATATGATAGGGGTGATTCCTGATACCCAGAAATAATACTTAAAAACAGTGAAAATATCTTTTAATGGCAGTTCAGAATATCAGTTTTGGTAAGGGTTGGGGATATTAACTGTTTATAAATAAATTTAACAATTAATGACATGGATGGGGTGAAGCATAATCTCGGGGAACAAAACCTATATTGCAGTAGAAAATTCCAAGACTTATCATTCCTTGTTGGGGGTTGATGATTTAAAACTTCCTTCAGAATCTTCAAATCGCAGAATGGTTTTGGAATCTTATTTACTTGCAAAAATGCAAATCGGTGAGACATTGTTACAGAGTCAAAATTCAAACACATTACATTTTGACGCACAGTGACACTTTTTGGGTTTTTAAATTTTAACTTATATGAAAATAAGATGTGGTATGATTGCCAATAAGACAACACTCCACCAGAGACAAAATGTCATAGAAGTTAACAACTGTAGGTGACCGTACAGCCTTCAACAATGAGCAAAACCCATACCGCATAGTCAGCTATAAAAGGCCCCGAAATGACAAATGTAAAACACTTCAAACGAGAAATCTATAACGGCCAGATTTATGTCAAAAACAATGAACAAAAAGCAAATATGATATGCAGCAACAAACGATAACCACTGAATTACAGGCTTCTGACTTGGGACAGGCACATACAGAATGTGGCGGGGTTAAACAAGTTTGCGGGCGCCCAACACTCCCCCTTACCTGGGACAGTGGTATAACAGCACAACATATGAACAAACTATAAAAATCAGTTGAAAAGGGCTTAACTCATAAGATCGATACAGAGTAGCAAAACAAGTAACAAATACACAAACCGGATGTGTCAGGGTATTTATACATCCCTACAACAAAAAAGACACTAAATACAGATTTGAGAGTACTCGCTGTTACTGACAGGTAGTTCATTTTAGTATCATTTGAAAGATTAAAATAGACCAACTTAAAAAAGTTGAAATTTTTGTTTTTGTTTATGTTTCTAATAAAATGAAGCAAATTTTTCACAATTTGCCTTGAAATACTTCTAACATTTTTTTTGAAACACGAAGATTTGAATTCAGACTGAATTGAGACAAAAATTAACTTTAAATGATACCTGTTTTATATAATTAGGTTACTAAATCATGTTAGAGATGGTTTTATGCAAAAATTGTCAATTTTTTGTCTAAAAAGTGTAGATTTTTGGCCGAAAACGGCAAGTGTTAAAATTTTGAGATCTCAGATGTAAGTCATCATAAGTGTTTCATATAGTAGTTTAGCTTCTGAATTTTGTTTATCTACCTAACCACTGCAAAAACAGTAAAAATGTCCATATTTGACATATGATTGAAGAAAGGTACACTTAT